AAGATATAAGCTCATTCTGATGTTACACTCATCAAGACTTTCATTTGAGTACCCTACATGCTATTTTCATATATTTTCATATATACATATATATATAAATATATGAAAAAATGATGTGGGTACTCAAATGAAAGGTCTTGATGAGTGTAACATCGGGATGAGCTTATATCTTTAAAAATGTCAATAGTTCACAAGATACAGGATCATTTCTTAATTATATATCATATTCATAAAAACCCATTTTATCATATCAATACACTGGCCACAAAATTTTGCTTATTCTCTTAATAATATCGATTAATTTTTTATTTCCAGGCGGAGTAATAAGCAACGATCCGATGACTGGTACTATTTTAATAACAGACAAAGTTCGCAGAACTTTGAAATTTCTCTGCGCCGTTTCTCGCGGCATTCCTATTGTTTCTGAAAATTGGATCAATGCAAGTATCAAGAGTAATAAATTCATCGAAACAGATCAATATATTCTGCGTGATTCAGCAGCTGAAGCGAGATTTAGATTTAATTTAAAACAAAGTTTGATTAAATCTAAGGAAAAAAGTTTGCTGCACAATTTGACGTTTGTTGTTACATCTGGTGTTAATCAACCTGGCTTCAATGAACTTAAAAGTAAAATTATTTACATATAATTATTTAGCATTTTTCAATAGATTTATTGAGTTTATTTATTTATTTTTATTCATTACTTTTTACAGATATAATACAAGTTGCTGGTGGCAAAGCTTTGGTCCGACCTCCCAAAACATGGACCAATACTTATATTATCAGCTGTCCAGCTGATATTTCTAAACTTAAGAAATTAACAGCAAACGTGCCAAATGATATCCAAGTTCCTGTTGTTACGACAGAATTTTTGCTGTCTGGAATTCTGAAACAAGAATTAAATGCAGAAGAACATAAGCTTAGTTTTTAAGATAAGTCGATAAAAAGTTGGGCTTGAGTGTAATAAAGTTTATATTTTTATAAAGTTAAGTTAAGCGTGTTAATAAAAAATGAATTATTATTATTATTATTATTATTATTATTATAGCGAACCGCGTTAAAAAAAAAAATTAGTAAATATTACATTTAAATATTATTTTTTTAAATTAAAAAATAAATATTAAACTATGTCATAATTCATAATATATAAAAAATTTTATTACATATGATCAATTTAAAATTTAACTTTAATTTTTGTTGAAATTAATATCTATTGTGTTAACGTTAAATATTAATGTAAAATAATAGAATTAATTTTCGTCAATAAAATTTTAATATATAAAATTTTTATTGTTTTATTAATTTAATAGTGTGATAAAAAAGTAAATTTAATTTGAAAAAAAAAAAATATAAATCGACTAAAAAATCAATAAATATAATTTTTTAATAATAAATTTTAAGAATGACATTAAAGTTAGCCGTCACTTGATAATTTTTTAATTTTATTTAACAAAAAAATTCGTCCCAAAAAATAATTTTAAAAAAATAACATTTTTTAGTTTTTAAAATTTTCAAATGTCAATTTTTTTTGTCATAGAATTTAAAAAATTGTTAAATATATGCTAAATTAATTTTTACATTTTAAGATAATTGGTTTTTTAAAAATATTTAAATATTTAATTAAATTACAACTAAAAAAATATTTTTAAAAAATTGCACTTTTAGTTTTTCAAGTTTTTTACATGTGACAATTATTTTTTTAATTGTTTAATTGAAATTTTTTCGATAAAAAATTCCTAAAAATTTTTAAATGTTGGCAAATTTCATTTTAATTAATTTTTTATAAAAATTAAGTTATCCGACATTTGAAAATAAAAAAAATATTTTTATTGAAAAAATGACTACAAAAAAAAATTGTCAATTGATAAAAACTTGAAAAACTATAAGTGCAAATTTAAAAAAATATTTTTTTGTTCTAATTTAGTTATTAAAAAAAAATCAAAAAATTAAGAGTGTCGGCTAACTTTAGTATCATTAATTTTTTTAATTTAGAATGAAATTGCAAGTATGTATCATTTATGTTTCATGCTATTTTGATGCCATTAATGTTTTGAAAATTTTCTTTCAAGGTCATTGTCATCGATATTGGTAAATTATAGTGAGCTCTAATTATTAGAACATGTGCATTCGTTAAAAAAATATTTAAAAAAATGAATTTCAATGAAACAAGTCCAACTTTAAATTGTGGGAATATTCTTCCCCAATTTTTACAAGAAAAGGTATATTAAATATTATTATTTATTATTTAATTATTAAGATATTACAAGACTAAAATTGAAAGAATTCTAATAATTCTTATAATTTTTTTTAATGAGTTAATTATAGCAAAAAAATTTTTTTTTTTTTTAAATTCTATCTTTAAAAACTTTAAAAAATTATAAATATAATTTTTAAAAGATTTTTCTACTTATTTTATTATTTTTTTTTTTCATTTTTATATTTTAGGTAATTAACCTGAAAATTGGCGAAAAAACGTACAATCAAGGATGGGGAAATTTAACAATAGGAAGGTCCCATTTTAATGATGTTATTATAAAAGACAAAGTAAGTAATATATTATTGATTTATTATTAATGACATTAAAGTTAACAGTCACAACCATTTTTTAATTTTTTTTACCAAGTAAATTTTTTTCAAAAAAATTATTTTTGAAAAATAGCATTTTTTATTTTTTTAAACATCTATGTCAATTTTTTTTTGTCATAATTTATTTATTAACAAAATTATTAAAATTATCAAATTAATTTTCATGAAAATAAAGTTAGCCGACATCTAAAAAATTTTATGATTTTTTTTATTAAAGCATTATTACAAAAAAATTTTTTTCATTAGTTAAAAACTTAAAAAACTATATATAAGTGCAATTTTTTAAAAATATTTTTTAATAAATTAAGTAAAATAAAAAAAAAATCAAAAAAGTCGGCTAACTTTATTATTATTTAATTTTCATATTATTAAATTAATAATTATTTTTTACAGTCAGTTTCCGCATTTCACGCAAATCTCGAGGTCTGCAGCAGAGGGATTTTTATCACAGATCATAACTCGACTAATTTTACCTATATCAACAATGTATGCAATAAATTTTATTTTTTTTTTAATTATTATGACATAAAAAATTGTTCAATTTAATTATTTAGTTGTTTTTTTGTAGGTTCAAATTCCTGCTCGGGAAAGAATGGCTGTCTGTCAAGGATCATCACAATCATCAGTTAAATTTGGTGAGGTTTTTTGTATCATTGAATTTCAACATCCTACAAACTTACCAGCAACTCCTGAAAGGGTCAGGCATACTTCCAGTTCTCCAGAGAAGCTTAATGATTCTGTTATTTTGTTAGATGAAAATAAAGAGGTTAATAATGATCATGCTGCTGATCATCATCACGAATCAAGAGAAGAAATAGATTTATCATCAAGTGGAGTTGATATTGAAAATAATAATGATAATGATAATGAAACTGAAGAAACACGCAGCAAATCATTAAATTGTCCACAAGCTTCCGTTGATTGTCGTCGTTATCATGATAATGAAGATGATAATAAAGATAGAGTAATAAATATTATTCATAGTCTTTCTCAAAATCTTCAAATTAATCAAAGTAATAATAAAGATAATAATGATCAGAAAGAATATGATGGTAATGATGATAACCGCCTTAATAATGAAGATGATGATGATGATGATGATGATCATAATAATAATAATAATGAAGATGATGATCATCATAATAATAATGAAGGTGATGATCATCATAAAAATAATAATGAAGATGATGATAATAATGACAATAAAACTGAAGCTGAAGAAGAAATAAGCACTAGATCATTAGTACGTCCACAAACTTCTGTTAATTATCGTCGTCATCATGATAATGAAGGTAATAGAGTAAAAAAAATTACTCATCGTCTTTTTGTATGTCATGAAATCAATCCGAGTGATGATGAAAGTAATAGTGATGAGGAAGAAGATGATAATGGTAATGATGATGAAGATAAAAGTGATAAGGAAGAAGATGATAATGGTAATGATGATGAAGATAAAAATTATAAGGAAGAAGATGATAATGGTAATAATAATGAAGATAATAGTGATAATGAAGATGATAATGGTAATGATAATGATGATACCGATACCAATGATAATATAACTGAAGAAGAAATAGGCAGCACATCATCAACACGTACACAAGTTTCTGTTAATCATCGCAGTTATCATGATAATAGAGATCAAAGAGTATTACACATTGTTCATAATGTTTCAATTAGTCTTCAAGTTAGTCAGAGTAATGATGATAATGAAGATGATACTGATAATAATGGTGATGATGATGAAGATGATGTTGATAATAATGGTAATGGTGATAATGATAATCATAAATGTGATGAAGATGATGGTGATAATAATGATAATAATGATGAGACTTATGACCCCGATGTTGATGAAGACGATAGTACTGATGATAATGATAGTAATATTAATGATGATAATGATGGTGTTCATGATAAGAGCAAAGATTCGAAGTCTGAATCAAAGACCAAGCGTCGATACAATTTGCGGAAAAATACCAGAAAATACTACCCGAAATAAACTGATTATCGGCATAAATATAATATTTTTTTTGGTATTGTATTTATTTAAAAAAATAGTTTTGAAATATTTATATGCGAAATAAGAAAGAATTTTATACATTTTTAGTTATATTTTGATATTAGAAAAATTAAATGAATTAGTGCTATTAATTAAATTAAATTTTGTTATGCTTCAATGTGCCTTCAAGATTATTAATCTGTTGAGGACACACGAGGTCCAGTGGACCCCAAGTGAATTTTGAGGCAATTTTGAATTTAAAAAGAGATTTATAAATGAGACTGAGTCTCATTTACGACTGATTTAATTGGTATTCTTGAAGATATTTATATTTTTATATTGTAATAATTATAATAAAAGATTTTTATAACAAAAAACCAAATTTTTTTATATTAATTTGCATGTTTAAATGTCTTACTCTCATTTTAAGCGACTGACCGAAATTTGTAACTTTAAACTTCAGAATAAATATATTTTTTTCAAACTTCATCAAATATTGATTTTTTTCCTCAAAATATATTGTTTTCCGAATAAAATGGCGTCGGTTTTTTTTCGATATCGTAAAAATCAAAATTTCTAAGACTTTTTTCATAAAAAAAGTTCTATTTCGTAAGTTTTTTTTTTTTTTTCTAAACAATTTTTCAATATTTTTAAATTATTAGAAATTAAAAATAACTATTAAGATATTTAGAGGGAATGTTATATTAAAGTTTGCTGCCAATTATAAGTCAATAATGTGTAAAAAATTATAAATAAGCATGAATTTTTTAATTTTTTTAATTAAAAAAAATAAATATTTTAAAAATTCTCGATGAAATTTTTAACTAAAATTAGATCGAAAAAAAAAATTATACATTCTATAATACTAAATTGCAAAATTTTATGTTATATTAAAGTTTGGTGCAAATTATAAGTCAATAAATCACAAAGGAAACGAATTAGAACTGTTTTGCTGGGGTCCACTGGACCCCATGTGTCCTCGACGTAATTTTGTCAACCCTCAACGGGTTAATAAACAGAAAATTAATTACTGTAGGCTACCTTTAAATTTAAATAATATATCTAATAATTAAATTTGCCTTAGTTTTATTTATTCATATAAATTCCTCTTTTCTGTCAACTATTAATTTTACACTAATAAAAAAATTAATTTTAATTAAAAAAAAAAATATTTTAATCAAAAATATAATTTTAATCATTTTAAATAAAGCAAAAAAATTATTTAAATAATTGTTTTGTTTTAATTAAATTTCACTTATTTATTAATAAATTAATAAACATTAATAAAAATTTTTTAAAAATATTTTTTGATGAAAAAAAATTTTTTTTTAGCTTACTCAACTATTTGACATAATTTTGCAAATTTATCTAATTTAATTGATTATATAGGTAGGTACAAAGCTGTTTTTATTCATTTATTTAATTAGTACTAATTTTATTCTATTTTATTAAATTAAAAAATAATTTTGATTCATTTTATTTAATTTTATTTATTGAGGTAATACTTTAATTTGATACATACAAATTTTGAGAAAAATAAAAATAATCACAAGCAAATTTGATTTATCCACTACACATATAAAATGGAATAACTCCAAAGCAGTGTTTAGTATCAATTACGATTATAATTAAACATTATTACGAGGAGATAAATTTAACCAGTTTTTAAAAAAAAAAAAAACCTAAAAATCTAAATTGCTAGTGACAATTGATAATATCACACACAAGAGATTTATAAATAATCCTCCGAGGTCTAAATACAATGATGATTATAATAAAATAAGTCGCAGCTTATATAACTTATGTTTACTTCTCACACAGCGAACATTGAACTCGTGAGTAATAGGTAGTAGTAATAATAATAGACATATGTATGCATTTGATTAAATTTTAAATAAATGATTCGTGATTAAATGCTTGTCCAGGTAATCTTCGTAGTTGATGAATTAGCTCGGGCTCATATTATTAAATAGTTGTTGATTTATTTTCATAAATTTAACACCAGCTGAATTCCAATAAATACGAAGAATTGAACAGACAAATGAATACGACTGTAACAAAGAAAAAAAAAAGTATGTGAGTTTCTACGTCGTAGTATCATGACCTTGGCAGCCATTTTGTAAACAGCGTCGATTATTTCATCATTCGCAAACCAATACACAAACAATATAAATACTGGCTGATTTTTTTTATTTTTATTTAATAATAAAAAATATTAATATTGAAAATTAATTTAGCTGACATTTAAAAATATTTAGAATTTTTTTTTATATTAAAAAAATTATAAAAAAAAAAAAAAAAACATGTAAAAAATATTGAAAAATTATGAGTGCAATTTTTAAAAAATATTTTTTAGTTTTAATTTAGTAAAAAAAAAATTAAAAATTTCGGATAAATTTAGTGTTATAATAATGAAAATTAATTTTGAAGATATTAAATAATTTTTTTTAACAAATTATAGCAAAAAAAAATTAAGAAAAAAAATGGCATGTATAAATTAAAAATACAACTTTTTAAAAATAATTTTTTTGAACTAAATAAATCATTAAAAAAAATTTTAAATGTCGGCTAACTTTAGTTTTATAATAATAAAAATTAATCTTGGATATTAAATAATTTTTTTTAAACAAATTATGGCACAAAAAAATGGCACGTAGAAATTTTAAAAAATTAAAAATGCAATTTTTTGGAACTAATTAAATAATTAAAAAAAAAATGAAAAATGTCAGCTAAATTTTGAATGATAATAATAATTAATTACCTTTTTTATGATTTAGTTTTGATGTTGTTTTTCTTATTAAGTTCAGTATTTATTAGCTTGGTCATGATTTTTCTAGAATGTCCGCATGGATCAAATTGATTGGTGTGCTGACTAACTTCCAGTTTACTCCTTTGCTTTCCTCCGTTTTTGCAAAAAATGTACTTATCAAACTCGTAGTTGTATTTTTCGTACTCGTCAGTGTATTCGCAATCAGACATAATTCACAAAATTAATTTATAATTCACAAAGAGAAAATTTACGATAAAATCGCTTATAAAAAGTCACTTGAAGTAGCTCTGTATAACTGTGAGGAGCGCCGCAGCTACATTCAGTTTTATAGGAACTAAATTATGCCCGCGCATGCGCAGTTAGTTTATTTTTATGTTTAGTAAACAAACACCGTGTTATTTTGAATGAAACAAATGATTTTTTCAACTGCAAATTAATCAAAAAAATTCTTTTTTTTATCTAAAACATTATTTTAGTGAGTTAGTGCAGTTTTATTAAGTTTTTAATTAATTATTTGGTGTAGAAGTGAATAGAAGGTACGATGTGCGCATGTATGACCAGGTGTTGCGCATGTCAATAAATCCGTTGCTGCAATTGAGTATTACTACGCGAATTTTCTAGAAAATTTTTTGAGGGTCGATATTTACTATCTAATCGACATAAACATAAACATATAATACTTACTAACGGGTATGTAACTGGTACACATTTAATAAAAATAAACAAAAGATGGCAGATTATCACGACCAGAGAAATCTTCGGTAGGAACTATATTCAAGTTATATTTTATTTAGGTTACACTTTTTTTCTATTTTTTTTTATAAAAAAAGAAAATTTTTAATGGACGTGTTTATACATCAACATTTATGTACAGAAAAATAAAAACAATATTTTACGTCCTGTAAATCTAAATACATGAATTAATGAGTCAGAATATTATTATTTTTACAGCTGTCAAACAGCTGATTATTTATTATGAGTCATGAATAATAATAAAATTAATATAATGTAACAAAAGGGGAATTATTATATTTCTTAATGACCAAAGCTACACCATTAACTCAAAACAATACTTATACTTATAAATAATATATAATATATTTGTTATCTTCATTGACGTATTGTGGGTGAAAGATATATTTTTATATTATATTACTTTATTTATTGTTTACTGGTTATCTCTTTTGCCTTGACAAAAATAAGTTTATTTTTTAGGATTGAAGGGAGTTCGATAAAATAAAATAAAATTTATTTAGCAGATATTTGATAATTTTAAAGTTTTTTAATAAATAAATTATGGCAAAAAAAAAGTTGACATTTAAAAAAATAAAAAATGCAATTTTTTTAAAATAATTTTTTTGATAAAAAAAATTAAAAAATGATTTAGTGACTGCTAATTTTAATGAAAATTAAAATAGTAGATATTTAATAAATTTTAGAATTTTTAAAAAAAATAAATTAGAAAAAAAAAATTGACGTAGAAATTTTAAAAAATTAAAAAATGCAATTTTTTAAAATTAATTTTTTTGTTAAATAAAATTAAAAAATAATTAGGTAAGTGACTACTAATTTTAATGTCATAATTTATTTAGTCACTGAATAATTTTTGAACTTTATTTTATAAAAAAAATTATTCTTAAAAAGAGCATTTTTTATTTTTTAAAATTTCTACATCAATTTTTTTTTTTCAAATTTATTTTGCCATTATTTATTTGTTATAAAATTTTTTAAATTATTAAATATATGCTAAATTAATTTTCATAATTTATTATGACATAGTTAGTCACTTTATAAATTTATTTATTAGAATAGACGCCAATCGGCAATGTACATAGATTATTTAATACTTTGGATTATTATTAATGATTTGATGGCTATTGAATTTGCAATAATAAAATTATTAAATTTTATTTTACAGAAAAGTTTGTTCCAAAAAATTATTCTTAAAAAATAGCATTTTTTATTAAAAAAATTTTTTTTTCTAATTTTTTTTTGGCCATTATTTATTTTTTAAATTATTAAAAATACCCTAAATTAATTTTCATATTTTATTTACAAAAAAAAAGGATATTTTTATAATTATACAAGCGGAAGTATCTACGTGATGAATGGCTAAGTGTGTTTTGATTTGTTCAATGTTTTTTTTTTAAACCAAGGTCAATAAACTTCAAGGAATCATGGTATAGAAATATCATTTTCAATGACCTCTATTGATATAAATGTTGGTGTTCAGTAATTCAATTCATTGAAAATTTTTTTTTGCTTCAAATCAAAATACTCTGATCAGCGTAGGCAGCTTAATACTTATCAGTAATTCAATTACTTTGTCACTGTCGACATTAGTTGTTACATTAAATCAATTGTTTACTGTAATGTTTTTTAGAGGTCATAAAGAATAAGTACGCAGTAGCTTTTTTTTTGGTCGAATCCAACAAAAATAATTAATTTTTAAATCGATAAAAAATAATTGTATTTTTTTTTAGAGAAATAAAAATTTTATAGCTGCTGTTAAGAGGCACGTTTATTATATCTTGATAAGCATTAATGCTTATTGAATTCACGTAATAGGTAATTGCTTGAATAAAACTAATTGAATAATTATTTTTTATAATTTTGATCAATTATATTGTTACTCTATTAAATTAATTATATTCTGTTACTTTATTTAAGTAAACGAATAATAAAATAATATTGATTAATTTACCAGGTGGTTAATCAATTGATGATTGAGAAATATCACAAAAATTGATAGTGACTTAAATATGGTCATAAGTTTCGCAATATTATAATTTATTGCTTGCATTTATATAATCTATCTTGAAAAATATTTTTTTGATTACAAACTCAGTATAATATTTTTTTTAAAGATAAATTTGATGTACAATGTCTTGTCTATATAGATAGATAAAAATTTGATCCTGAAATTCTAAGATACATAATTAAGAAATGACCTTGTATCTCGTGAACTATTGACATTTTTAAAGATATAAGCTCATCCTGACATTATACTTACCGAGACCTTTTATTTGAGTACCCACATCAATTTTTTCATATATTTTATATATTTATACATAATATGTATATGTATATATGAAAAATATATCAAAAATGCAAGTGGGTACTCAAATGAAAGCTCTTGATGAGAGTAACATCGGGATGAGCTTATATCTTTAAAATATATATTATATATATATATATGTATAATATATCATAATTAAGAAAAGACCTTGTATCTCGTGAACTTTTGATATTTTTAAAGATATAAGCTCATCCCGACATTACACTCATCAAGACCTCTCACTTGAGTACCCACATCAATTTTTCATATATTTATATATATTATAAATATGTATATATGAAAAATATATCAAAAATGCATGTGGGTACTCAAATGAAAGCTCTTGATGAGCTTATATCTTAAAAAATGTCAATAGTTGAGAAAGTACAGTGCAATTTAATAAAATTCATTATTTAATAAAGCAAAATTTTATTTATTCAAGCTATGAAATAATATTTTCTCGCATAAAGTTTTAACCAGCCTAATTAAATTCTTTATATACCACAAGCATCGCCGTTTCGCCTGAAATCAGAATTGGCATAAATAAAATCAGTTGATTTAAAAATAGCAGCTACAAAACTGTAAGCTTGATAATTATCTTGAGAGACTTGATGCCCTAAATTTTTCAACCCCTGAATCACAGAGTTAGATGTACCAAACTCATAATTTATCATCATAGGTAAAAGCTGATGGTGAAGTCTTGGAGTGTCAATTGCTTCTTTTATAGTATTGTTCATCCATAATACTCGTGCTAATGCCTGACAATAATTATTTTATACAATTAAATAAATTTTTAAATATTTAAGCTAATTTTCAGACTTACGCAAGCCAAGGAAGAGATAATTCTAGTTCCACCAGATGCAGCAATTATCATTTTAACATTTCCATCGCTATCTACTAAAATTGAAGGTGCCATTGATGACAATGGTCTCTTACCAGGTTGAATTGAATTTTGTTTGCTATTTCCTGGTAAGCCAAAATAATTTACTACAGTTGGGATTGAAAAATCATCCATGTTGTTATTAAATAAAATTCCTGTTTTCTCCCCTACTAGACAGCTGCCGAAACTAAAATGAAGAGCCAGTTTATGAATAAAAAAAAAGGTTTTATAATAAAAACAGCTGACATGTTATTATGTTAATTTTACGGGGTATTGATGGTACTCGTAAGTGATACTGCATCTCCAGTTGAAGATAAAACTACTAAATGAGAAGTACCGTGATCTTCATGAAGCCAAGTACTGCCTTCGTAATGGGCAGCATCGTTCCACGTTCTTGAGTCATCTATTCGAGCTTTTATAGCTCGAGCATAATCTCTTGAAGTTAAATTTTGTGTAATCTGTTAGCAGACAAAGGTAATTTTTTTTTTTTTTTAATTTTTCCTTTAAATCCAGTTGATTTATTAAATAGTTTTTTAGTTAATACTACAGTTAATATACATCTCTCAATTTTTTGAATTTTTATCACAACTAAATTATTGTAAAAAAATTTTAATAAAAAGTTCCACATCTAGAAATTAAAAAAAAATACAAGTTCAAATTTTTTGATAATATTTTTTTTAACATTGATTTGTTATAAAAATTAAAAAAATTAGGAGATATCTGCTGACTTCAGTATCATTTGTTTAGTTGATGCATTACCTCAGTCATATCATGAAATTCAGGATCACCCAATTTACTTCTCACAGCAAAAGCGTATTTAAAAGTCTCAATCATTCTGTGATATGTTTTGATAGTATTTTCATCGCCATTCAAGCTGTTTGGATTAAATTTAAATTCATCAAAGATGTTCATAATAAATATAAGCAGCGCACCGCTAGTTGGAAAATTCGATGTAAATAATTTCAAACCATCAGACAGTTCAGTTTCCAAAGGCTCTTGCCATTTTGCGGAGTAAGTACTTAAATCATCCATCGTTAAAATACCACCGTGTTTTCGTAAATCCTCAATTAGAGTTTGTCCCAACGTTCCATTATAAAATTCGCCTGCGCCTTTTTCAGCCAGCACTTTGTATGTTTTACAAAGCTTGTCAGCTTTGATAATACTTCCTGGTTTTTTGAATTCTTTTGTCGTTTCATTGACAAACAAAGATCTGCAAGAAATAAAAAAAAATTTAATTGATTATTATTATCTAGCTTAGTTATTAGACAAATAAATCATCAATTGTTCATCAACAAATAAAAATTTGTTGATTTTAAAAAAATATCCAAATGCAATTAAAAATTCTATTTAAGAAAAAAAGAAATTTACCTTAATGTAGGATCCTTGTTAATACACTCTTCTTTTCTCAATAAATCATTCAGCTGTATCTGCGAAAGCTTCCATCCTTTTTCGCACAGTGCAATTGTATCAGTAAACAAATCTGCCCATGGCAACTTACCAAACCTTTGGTGTGCTGCCCAATAACCCGCAATTTCTCCGGGAACAGCCACAGCAAGTGCTCCTTCTAATGAAGCTTCACTTTTGTCCTTGTATATATCTTTATGAACTCCCAGAGGTGCTCGATCTCGTGCATTTAAATAATAAACTTTCTTCGTAGCTTTGTCATAGATTGTCATAACTAATCCGCCACCGATTCCCATACTCTGCATGAAACCAAGGCTGGTGCAAAGAGACGCTGCAATAACAGAATCAACCGCGGATCCATTTTTTTTCAAAATTGATCTGTAACCGGTCATTACAATTTGATGATTATTATTATTATTATTTTAATAATTTATGATTATAATCTTACTTTCCTATTTCTGCACACACAGCATCGTCGCCAGCTACTGCTCCATTTTTAAATTTTCTTAATTTTCCAGCAATTAATGGTGTAGGAATTTTAATATCAAGTTGTTCGCTATCAAAAGTTTCATTTTTTGTTAATATTACAGTAATTATTACACCAGTAATTGCAAACAAAACAGTTATTACAGCAATTGATGTTTTCTAAATAAAAATAAAATTAGTCAGATCAATTTTTTTATTAATAAGTTTTTTCATCAGATAATAGTAATAAGTCGTACCTTATCAGTGATAGTCATTGTGATGCAAATTATAAAATATTTTTTTAAATATTTATAAATTATTAAATATTTTTAATAAATACCTTTGAGTAAATTTCACACAGCCTTCACTTGTATTTAATATTTACTAAATAATTACTTCGTTTAAATATTCTATGTATTTACATTGCTGGATAATTTATAGTGATTACATTGTATCATCATTACCACTTTATATGAATTTATATTATAAACTGGTCAAAGTTTACAATTTACTGATAAATTACTTACTAATATGTGATTAAAATTAATAAATAGTTAATTTAAAACCGCTATTACTTTAATATGGTAATGAGGGTTAATTATATTTTATCCAATTACAGCACTTATGCTAAAATTCAGTTTAAAATAAATTCATTATTAAATAAAAGGTTTGTAAAAATTTTTCTAATCTACAGGAAGGATTTTTTTGGTGTAATTAAATATTAAGAAAGTAAATAAGCAAAGAATTGAGTTAAAAGAAAAATAGATAGAAATTTTATTAAAATTTTCAATTAATACCACTAACACCTCCGTTTCGTCTATAGTCAGCATTTCCATAAAGCAAACCATTTAATTTTTCAATAGCACATACGACACTGCCTCGACCTCTGTACCGTGCTGTTTCATGTCCAAGCTTTTGCAATCCTTCAATTACAGATTTTAATACACCATATTGATAGCCAACTTTCATTGGATAAAGTTGATGATGGATTCTTGGAGCGTCAATTGCTTCTTTGATAGTATTGTTCATCCATAGAGTCCGTGCCATTACCTGAAAGTAATTTTATTATTATTATTTATTTTCTTTAGATATTTAAAAGTACAGCTTTTATAGAAAAACTTTGAAAATTTTATAGAAAAATTCTGCATAACGATTAACAATTATAAATAAAACAAGTAATTTTATTAATTTATCTGTAATTAATACAGTCGAGTTGCGTTATGACTCGACTGTAATAAACATTTTATCATTTTTAGTGGGAGACACTTACGAAAGCTGCTGATGTCGTTATTTTAGTACCACCGCATGAACCAATTACCATACGGAGGTCACCATTAGGATCCACGAGAACCGACGGGACCATTGATGAAAAAGGCCTTTTTCCAGGTTCAATTAAATTTTCTTTTGCGTTACCAGGTAAATCGAAGTAATTAGTTATGTAGGGAATTGAAAAATCATCCATACCACTGTTGAGCAAAATTCCAGTATTTTCGCTGACTAAACCACTGCCGAAGCTGAAATAAATATTTTAATTAATAAATATTATAATTTAGTATTATTATTTAGCTTACAAGGTATTAAGAGTGCTAGTAATTGAAACAGCATCACCATCAGGCGACACAACTGAAATTTGAGCAGTGCCATGATCTTCAAGAAGCCGAGAACCTCCTTCGTAATGAGCAGTATCATTCCACGTTCTTGAGTCATTTATTCTAGCTTTTATAGCTCGAGCATAATCTCTCGAGGTTAAATTATTCGCTAACTGTAAATAGAGACAGTTTTGTAAATGTTATTATTTTGTATTAATCATACAATAGTAATACATTAGTATAACAATTACTTCTTTAGTTAAATACCGCGACAAAATATCCCCCGAGATAATGTCCTCGGTGTTAGTCTACTTTCGAATAAACACACATAAAATCCATGATTTTGCACAAGCTTATGTGTTGTCAGCTCATAAATTTAATTTTTAAGTTGAGTTTATACTGTCCAAGTTATACAAAGTTATGATAATATTTTGTAATGTAATTATAAGAATATTATTGTAAAGTATTTTGTATTTAATTGTTCTAGCACCTGAGGAAGTCGAGAAACCGACGAAATGTTGTGAAAATTTAAATAAACATCGAATAAATATTTCCATCAAACTGTGAATTGTTATTGTATTGATTAATAATGGATATAAACAACAAGACAATGAACTTATGTGTTGTGATATTTTGTTTAAAAGAAATCTTGTCGGAGGATATTTTGTCGCGGAATTCTTTAGTTGATGCATTACCTCAGTCATATTATGAAATTCAGGATCACCCAATTTACTTCTTACAGCAAAAGCGTATTTAAAAGTCTCAATCATTCTGTGATATGTTTTGATAGTATTTTCATCGCCATTCAAGCTGTTTGGATTAAATTTAAATTCATCAAAGATGTTCATAATAAATATAAGCAGCGCACCGCTAGTTGGAAAATTCGATGCAAATAATTTCAAACCGTCAGACAGTTCAGTTTCCAAAGGCTCTTGCCATTTTGCGGAGTAAGTAATTAAATCATCCATCGTTAAAATACCACCGTGTTTTCGTAAATCCTCAATTAGAGTTTGTCCCAACGTTCCATTATAAAATTCGCCTGCGCCTTTTTCAGCCAGCACTTTGTATGTTTTACAAAGCTTGTCAGCTTTGATAATACTTCCTGGTTTTTTGAATTCTTTTGTCGTTTCATTGACAAACAAAGATCTGCAAGAAATAAAAAAAAATTTAATTGATTATTATTATCTAGCTTAGTTATTAGACAAATAAATTATCAATTGTTACCTCAACGTAGGGTCATTTTCAATACTGGCTTTATTTTGAAATAAATCACTCCACTGAGCGTTAGATAGTTTCCATCCATTTTCACACATCGCAATAGCGTCAGTAAACAATTCAGCCCATTTCAATCTACCAAACTTTTGATGTGCTGCCCAATAACCCGCAATTTCTCCAGGAACTGCTACAGCTAGTGGACCAGTAAATGATGCGCCTTTACTTTTATTTCTATACATATCTCCAAAGGCTGCCATAGGTGCTCGATCTCGCGCATTTAAGTAGTAAGCTTTTTTAGAAGCTTTGTCATAAACTGTCATTACGAATGCACCACCTAATCCCATGTTTTGCATGTTCGCCATTCCATTACAGAGAGCCGCAGCGATTGCCGCATCAATCGCGGAACCATTGCGTTCTAAAATTTTGCTAAAATAAAAATTAAATTTATTTATTAATTTTTTTTTGATTGGAGAAAAATAACGAGCATAAATAATAATGAAATTAAAATTAACAGTCTTGAACATTTTTTAACAAACAAATTTGTTTTAAAAAATAATTTTTGAAAAAATTGCATTGTTAATTTTTTAAAATTTCTACATGACAATTTTTTTTATAATATTAAAGTTAGCCGACGTTGTTAATATTTTCAATTCTCTTTTAATTACTAAATTTGAACTAAATAATATTTTTAAAAAATTGCACTTATAGTTTTTCAAGTTTTTTACAAATGAAATTTTTTAAAAATTTTTTTGTAATTATTTTTTTAATAAAAAAAAATTTTTTAATATTTTTAGATGTCGACTAACTTAATTTTCATATTTTTTTTTCCCAAAATTTATTTGTTAAAAACAATCTAATACTTATTAAATATCTGCTAAATTAATTAATTTTCATTAAATAATAGATTTAAATTACCTTCCTACTTCAGCGCAATAAGCATCATCAACACACACTGCACCGCGTTTAAATTTACTAAGTTTACTCGACGATGGTGGTTGATATTTTTCAACATCTGGTATTTTCTCTACATCGTCGTCATTTTCGTCAATTTTTTTACTTCCCTTAGATAATAATACAGCTACTATCACGATTGCTATCACAGCAAGTACCGCCACTCCAGCTATTATTTTCCAACGTTTCGATCTCCATCTAAAAATAAAATGATTAGTTAAAATTTAAGTTTTCAGTATTTTTGGTAAATGAAAAAAACAATTTCTTAATTAAAAATAAAAAATAAAAATTTTTTTCAACTCTTAAAAATTACTTTCAATATTCATAAATAAAGTTTTTTTGTTTTATTTAAAAATCACTCCATTTTTTCATGGTAGTTATTCAATAAAATTTTAAACTGGAAATTTTTGATGACACTGAAGTTAACTGACATTAAAAAATTTTTAGTAATAAAATTATATTATGAAAAAAATTTAATATAAAAAATTGCACATGTGAAAATTAAAAAAATTATTAGTTGACATTTTTTAATTGTATGTATAGACTTGTTATAAAAATTAAAAAAATGAACAGCTGTTAGCTAACTTCAGTCTTATAAATTTTTTCATATTTTAAAATTCCCGCGTAAATTTTTCTCACCTGTCACTTTATTATTATGCGTCTCACACGTCAAATTATTTATACTTAAACACAGTGGAAGTAAATAATTATTTATAAAATAAAAAATTAGCAGATAAACAATAATTTTTTTAATTAAAAACAGTTTATCAAATTTTAATAAAAGTAAAACTATAATGAAAATTAAGTTAGCCGACATCTAAAAACTTTCAGAAATTTTTTTATTGAATAATTATTAAAAAAAGAAGAAAATAAAAAATTTCACTTGTAAAAAACTTAAAAAACTATCAGTGCAATTTTTTAAAAATATTTTTTAGTTTTTATTTAATAAATAAAAAATAATTAAAAAATTGAAAATTTTCAAAATAAAAAAAAATTTTTTTATATTTTTTACAATACATAATTTTTTATTCCTAAATGCAAAAATTATGAGATAACAGTTATCATTAATATTCAGTGATATAATCTCGCGAAAAAGTAAATAAAACACTTTGGACTTTGTAGTGATAAAATTAATAAATTTTATTTGAATATTAATTTGTTATTAGGTCTGTTACTTTTGATAATACTGAAGTTAGCCGTCAGCTGTCAATTTAAAAAATTTTTTTAACAAATTAATTACAATAAAAAACTGCTTCTAAAAATTTTCACTTGTATTTTTTATTAATTTTTACATGTGGAACTTTTGAGTTAAATTTTTTTTATAATAATTAAATTAAAAAAATTCTTAATATCTGTCAACTTCAGTGTCATCACTATTGTTGCTTAACAGAACTTGTTTGTTGGATAAAATAACAAATAAATACAGTGAATTGTTTAAAAAAAAATATAAAAAGAACATTCTAACCTCAACTGGGCCTTTCGCAGAAAATTTGCATCTTCCACTTGTAAGTAATTATACATTTATAATTCATAAATTAAAAAATTAAAAAGGTTTGATTTAATAAGATTGTCAAAGTGACAAAAAAAAACTCACATTATATATATACTATTATTATTATTATTATTATTATTATTATTATTATTGACTGAAAAATCACTTGACTCCTGACTGTCGACGGAATAAATTAATTGTACAGCTGCCTGATCATTACGCTGATTAAATAACGTTCTACTCATACCACAACAATAATCATAACCGCGACTTTTATCATAATCATCTCCGTCATAATTTATATTATTATTATCGTTGAAGTGTTTAGCAAGCGAGCTTTCAATTTCTATTGGGATTGTCATTCGTCTTCTGCGAATATTGTTGGACTTCACCTTTGATCGTTTCCAACATTCCATAACACAAATTGCACGGTTGATTATTTTTATCAACAACCACTTTTATTGATGGTTCCACCTTCAGAGGTTTATTTTTTTTAACTTAATCCTGCTTATTATTATTTTTATTTTTAGATTTTCTTCAATTAATTCAGAAGTCGCAAACATTTTTTCTTTTATGATTTATGAAAAAGCCTCTCAGGAAGACTAATTTCAACTGACCTACTGTTTGGAGCTGATTTTAAAATCAATACAGGCACGCGCAATTCATTTTATAAAACTGTTGGTTTATTTTTATGAAAATTACGTTAGCCGAAATTTAAAAGTTAAAAAATTTTTTTTTATTGAAAAAATGATTACATAAAAAAAGAAAAAAAAATTGTCATTTGTTAAAAACTTGAAAAACTGTAAGTGCAATTTTTTAAAAATATTTTTTTGTTCTAATTTAATTATTGAAAAAAAAATCAAAAAATTGAAAATGTCGGCTAACTTTAGTATCATTTATTTTTTGGTAAATTTTGTCTGTGAGATATTTTATTAACTTTTTTATATCTATTTAATGATTAATTAATCTTCAAATTTTTTTTTATTTGAAGATATAAGTGCATAAAAAAATATAAAATCATTTTTAATGAGATACTTATTTTTTTTTTATTGTGATACTAAAGTTAGCCGACTTTTTGAATTTTTTGATTTTTTTTTAATAATTAAATTAGAACAAAAAAATATTTTTTTAAATTTGCACTTACAGTTTTTCAAGTTTTTAACAATTGACAATTTTTTTTCTTTTTTTTTGTAGTCATTTTATCAATAAAAAAATTTTTTTTTTATTTTTAAATATCGGCTATTTCTAATGACACTGAAATTGAAAAATATTTAATAATTTAAAAAAATTTTTTAATAAATAAATTTAATACAAAAACTATTATTTACATAATAATATCATATTTCAGAGCTTTTAAAAATTATAAATTAAATTTTTTTAAATCAATTTTTACACCTTGTTTATTTTTTGAGAAAAATAAAAAAATCGTCAAGTGTCTGCTAATGTTAGTGTCATAATTTTCAGAAAAATTGCGGGTGTGATAGTTTATAATAATTTGAATGAAATAATATAAATTTTTCATAACTTTAACATTTTTTCCGATTGCCTCTTTTTTATTGAATCTTATTTGTTTTTTTTTTTATTTTTCTATTCACTTAAAGTTTTGAAATTATTTATTTATAATTGAGAAAAAATTTAAGAAAAAAAAATAACATAGTAAATGTTTTTTTTATAAATCTTAATAAAATTTAAGGGAGTTTTTTTTACACTTTATTCAAAAAATAAAATAATATAAATACTAGTACTACAATAGTAAAGTAGAAAAAAAAATAAATAGTATAAAAATAAGAATAACTTTTTAAAAATAATATAAACAGCTCCAGAATTTTATAGTTTTCTTAGAATACAAAAAAAACATATTTTTTTTTTGATTTTATCTCGAGTAGCCCCTGAGTCTCTAAATTTTTTTTAACTATATTTACTATATACCTAGAGCTAGAGCAAGAGAATTCCCGAGTGTAGGTATAATTCACTCACTGTCAATTCTTTTATTAAAATTCTATAAATTTAAAGAAATTTTGTAACTTGTTAACAAGTTTTTTTTTAACTATTTTTCATGCATTTTTTAAATATATTGAATAAATAGACAGTTTATTTTTAATCACTCCAGACGTATAAAAGATCTATTTATGATTCGTCTATTTGAAAAAGCCTAATTCTTTTATTAAATTAAAAATAATTATTTGCCTAGAAATAATTTATCTAAAATCTAAAACTCCTATTTTATCTTATTTGATGACTGAAAAATAAAATTTTACGTATCTTGTTTTATTATAGACAAACATCAGAAATTAATATAAAAAAAATTATCAGCTTATTATTTCTTAATAAGTAATTAATTATTTTATAGTCAGTTTTAGTACTTAGTTTAAAAAAAAATATCCGATAGTTTCTTACTTTTTACGCCGGATTATCCTAATAAATTTTAACGTGACAATAAAGATATAAAAAATTTTTCATTATCTCAGATAAAATAAATCCAAAACTTAAACTGATAATTAAATGAAAAACATCGAAAATAAATTTATTATTTAGTAATTTACTGTGAAAAATATTAGCATTAGTCTCTTCATATAGTGACGACTGATGACAAACAAGTCGGCGTAAATTTTTTAAAACTAAACTAAAGGTTATTAAATTTATCCGTCTATTTTATTTTTTTTCAGCGTAATTAAAATTTTTCAAACCACTGAATAATATTTAACACTTGAAAATTATTATTCTTTATCTATTGTAAATCACGTAAAATTTATCCTCGTAAAAATTCAGAGAAACATAAAAAAGCAATCAGAAACAATTGTTATCAGAGTAATTTTATTCATACCGAGTGTTAAGTTGAAAAAATTATAAAAAAGTCCTTCGGTTAAATAATTAAATATTTTGTTATTAAAAATTTCTGCGGATAATTTAAATTATTTATGCTTACTTTCCGTAACTAAGTATGACTAATGTTAATTACTTGAACAATTTATTGATAGTGCATATTATTGTTTTAAATAAATTACAGAAATTTATTAATTAATATACAACTATAAATAATTATTAACATTATTTTATTAAAGAATAATAAAATATATAAATAATATAATAATTATTAACAAGAAATAAAATTTTTACGGCCGTTATAAGGATATGTGACCTTCAACATTAGATCACTTTCAATTACTCTACATTGAAAACATAATTAACACACTTTATATACTTATATATTGAATATATTGTACTATAATTACTTTTAACATGCTATGATATTAATTTTTCTTTATTAATTATAAAAAAAAAATTTTTATTATAAATGCGGTGTAAATTTCAATGCAAAGTTTTATTTTTTAGTTTAATAAATTTTTTCAAAGAAATTTAATTTTAAAGAATTGAAGTAAAAACTTACTTTGAATTTTTGGTCTCAATTGTGATACTTTCTATCTGATGCTTCATTTTTTTAAAATAAAAAAAAATAAATTAATTTTTTTTAAATAAAAAAAACCAACAATAATTATTGAAAGTTGAGCGCACTTTAAGCTTGACCGATTGGCTGCTCACGCAATACTGATGAAGAGTTATGAACACATGCTGATTCTTCTACAATTGAACAGTAAATCGGTACTGTCGGCTGAGTAGTCGTATCCTAATACCGCCTCTTAGCGAGAAGATAGTTGTTATATTTAGTCGGGGATTTTCAGGTACACAGAAGAAATTTATCAGTGTAGTGGGGAAGGGAATAATAAATTAAACTCTATTCTACAAGACGGTAAAAAATACTGAGGCAAAACGGCGACACTCACTAAACTGGAGTCGTGATCGAATAACGGAAAGATTCTTGCCGGGAGTGGTATTGTTATTATTATTGATTTTATTGATCATTGTATCATGTCTTTATTGTTTTATTTACCTGATGGATTTATTGAAGTTTAGCATTTTTCTTTAATTGATTTTTTTAAATTTGTAGTTTGGTTTTTTATAAATTTTAGTTTTATTTAAAAAAAATATTTATAAGTTTTTAAGAATTAAAAATTATAATTATAAAAATTAAAAAATCTTTCAAAATTTCTTCTTTTGCCAAATTTTAAAGTTTTATTTAATAAAAATATTTATAAGTTTTTGAGAATTGAAAATTATAATTATAAAAAAAAATTTATAAAAATTTCTTCTTTGGCCAATTTTTAAAGTTTTATTTAATAAAAATATTTATAATTTTTTAAGAATCAAAAATTATAAATTAGAAAAATTTTTTAATTCTTACTAAAAAAATTGTAAAATTTAAAAACAGAAAAAAAATTAAGTTATCAAGAAAATAATTAAAAAAAATTTTATTGTCTTAATTTGAGTAAAAAAATTTTTTAACTAAGAGATTTATTTTGGTTTAAATAAATTTTGCTTGATTCAATTTAATTTTTTTTTTTTTCAGTCAAGTTTTTGGTGTTTATAGTCCTTTTTTAAAATTAATTATAGAAAAAATTTTAAATAATTTTTTTAATTAAGAATTTTTAAAAATTTAAACTGGATAATTTTTTTTTTAATAAAATTTAAAAAGCTAATTTTTAAAAATGAGACTGAAAATAATAATATTTAAAAATTCACTATTTTATAAAATAAAATAAAATTTTTTTAAGTAAAAAAAATTATTTTAAGACATAACTTATGTAAATTATTGATAATACATTTGTTATCTCTAGAAAAATGTGACGCTAAACAGTAAAAAGTATGCCTCGAACTGAAATAATTATAAACAAAATATAAACGTAAAAAAAAATTAATTAAATTAAACTAGGCTCGGTGCAAAGGGACTAAGGATAGATAAAGAAGCAAAGTGATCTAGAAAAAGAGAGATGATAATGGGAAGTGATTTATTTATGCTACTAGGTCTCTAGTTCCGTTTATTTTTCATTACATCAATGTACACTTCCCCATATAATTTATTTAAAAAAAAATTATTTTACAGATTGGCATACAATTTCTCAACCAGCGAGAAAATACAATAACTTTTATAATTATATAATCCATAAAAAATTCATTCAAACATCAATAATTAATAATAATAAATAATAATAATAATAATACTTAACAATTATTAAATCTTACTTTACACAGAAAACAATTAAAGCCGCTTTTTTCCAAACAATATTTTACATCTCTTCTTAAAGTAAGAGACCCAGTTACTGACACTGGTCTAGTTGTTTGACACTTGCAATTTTATTCCAATTAAAAAAGTAAAATGTTCTCAAAAAACCAATTATCTAAAAATTTATAATTCACAAATTGTATTTATTAATTTATTGGAATTGACTTTTTTTTTTTTTAATTAATATAAAATTGCAAGTGTCAATAACTAGGTCAGTGTCAATAACTGGGTCTTTCACCTTATATAGTACTTAATTAATTAAGTTACAATTAATAATAAACAAAAAAAACGATCTTCAATTCCAACGGCTCCTATATATTTTAAAATTTCGCTTGTTTAGCTTATCAGTTGAACGATTGTCATGAGAGATAATTAACAGTCAACGTTTATAATTACTTAAATAGTTAACATATTATATATTTATTTTGTCGCACGTAAAATATATATTTTAGCTGAGACATTTGATCGTTATATTTAATATTACTTCAATCAATAATAATAATAATTATTTTATAATACATAAATTTTTTGAATACTAGTGAACTTGTACTGTCAATTCAAACAACAATTTGCTCATGCTACCACACATAAAATACATATATACATTGAAAATTACATACATACACAAGTAAAGTACTATAATATTACTAATAAAAGGATTTATTTGTACCAAAAAAAATTTTTTAATAGTTAACAAATCATCATTTATTAATTTATTAGAGACCACTTTTTAGTATTAAATAAATATTTCTTAGTATTTAAAATGATTTGTATTTTTTATTATAATTAATTATTAATTATATAATTATTATAATTAATTTGTGTATAATAATTTATAATTAAAATGTGTTTGTATTTAATAAATCTGATATTCATTTATTAAATATTAAATATTAATTATTATTAATAATTATAACAAATATTAATAAATCTTTTTAAATGCTAAAAAATATTTATTAAGGACTAAAAAGTGGTCTTTACCTCTAATAAAAGATTCGTTAAATATTAACAAATATTTTTAACTATAAAAAAATCCTTCTATCAGTGTAACAAATTACATATATTTATGTTGCATTTTATACTATATTTTAATATATCAAGTTTCATTTTTTTCGATCCAACAAACATTGAGGGCGAAACTATTCGGTGTAAAATTTACTTTTTTATTCAAGGTCTCTTTTCAAATTAATCGAACCTATTTATTTATGTTTTGTTGTCGAGTGTTTTCTTCTCCAGTTACCTGATTGTGTTTATCAATATCAATACGTATATATATAAGAATGTATGTAAATGTTATATGTTTTTTCATTTATAAATGTCATGGGTTAAAAGTACAAAAATATAATTGTATTTCGGGATATGTTAGTTTTTAATTCACAAGTCAATCAATTACTCTTTGGTTTACTTTTGTCATCTATTTCAATCTAAACAATAATAACAATAATGCTAATAAAAAAAAAAAGACAATTAAAAATAAATACCTAAGATGACAAAGTTGTAAGAAGTGATCGCAATTTAATTCCATCATTATTTTCATTTATTTTCTCATCATTAATAATCCGAGAGCGCATCCTTTCTTTTCTTCTTTTTTTACATTTTTTTACTACCCCTTTGTTATCAATTTCGTGTGGATTTTTATCGTTACTACTGGCGCTTTCTTCTTCATCATCATCTTCTTCATTTTCTTCTTTTTCCTCTTTTTCTTCTTCTTTTTCGCTGTTTTCGTCTTCGATATCATTCGACCTTTTTTCTTCAATACTACCCCAACTGGATTCGCTTTCGCTTTTTTCTTCGCTGTTTTTTCGCTTCACTTTTGGCTTTTCATCAGTTTTATTGTTTGAATTTTGGGTTCCTTGTGCCTGAAAAAATTTATTAAATTTATTAAAGTGATCTTTTTTGGTGGCTCTTATCAAGCTTTCCGCTCTAATCTCAAAAAACATATTTTGCAATATTATTAATGATACTTTTAATTTTTTACTATGCATTATTAAGGTAAAGTACCCAGTAGTTGAACAGGTTTCAAAGTAAAACGTATTTGACCCTACTTTTAATATATAAATATGTAATTATTAGTTCAAATGAGTGATTTTCATGAAAATATAAACAATTTTGAATTGATTGAAGTGCAAAATAACACAAATAATTGAACATTTATAATTTGACAACGTTTTTAAGATAGACTATGAAAGGAGTAGTAGTTGAACAATCAATTCTGACAAGCCGCAGTAGTTGAACACTCTGGGAGCAGTAGTTGTACTAATAAAATATATGGCAATAGGCATACCAAAAATTTTCAACGTTTAATTGAAATATTCAAAGATTTATAACATATTATTGAATAATACTAAAAATAATACTATAAATATTTAATATGTTCATTTAAAAATGAGAAATATTTGTATTTAATTTATTAATTACATTTTTTATGAATGACAAAGTAAATTTTCAATTATAAATCAAAAAAACTCAATTCAAAACGTTCAATAATTTTTAACTATACTAATGTTTAGTTATAAAACTTATTTAATTTGCATTAATTAATACAAATCACAATACTGATCATTAGTCTATAAACCTATTGAAGGTTAGAGTGCTGTTAAAATTATACGGTCCCAGCTTGTTAAAGTTCTGGGTACCGCTTTGAAAATTGGGAGGTATAGTTGAACGCTAAAATTTAATATAAAAATTATAGTTAATGTCTTTGCAAAAAATATGTATTATTTAGAAAAGACTATTTCATTGGATGGTACAATTTTTTTCACTTAAAATGATGATATACCGTTTTTTTTACTGATTGTTCGGTTTACGGTTTAGTACCTTTTTCATGAAAAAAATAGCATCTATCGGCGATTCTTGACATGTCAACTTTAAAGTTAACAAAAATGTAATTGTTTTGATTTATAATTGAAAAAACTTATCAAAATCAATTACTGTATCATTGAATAATTATAAAATGCGCATATGACTCATAATATATATACAGATTTTGTATTACAGCAATTCTAAAAGTCTGTTCAACTACTGGTCCCATTTTTAGAAGTGTTCAAGTACTGGGTACTTTACCTTAAATAAGAATTTATTTTTGTGCAATTTTCAAGCTAGAATTTTAGAATTAAAAAATTTATAATTTAAAGAGTATACTAATTAATCTATAATGTCGATTGGCATTTAAATAAATAAATAAATAACTCAATTGTAAAAAACTAAAAAATTTTAATTAAAAAAAAATAAAGTATAGTCTTCACGAATTATTTTATCTTAATAAATAATAAAGTAGTAAAAAATTCATAAACTCTATAATTAAACAACAATACGTGAAATTACAAGACAAAGTTTTGCCTCTGGTTGCATCAATAGATAGTCTGGAACAGTTCAGCTAAAGTTACGCTGATTTAATTAGTCTAGAAAGTTATCGGAGACAGAGCTATATTATGTAAATACATTATTATGTAATTTAAATTTTATGAATGATTTTATCGAGTATTATAGATGTCAATGAATCTAGATAAGTTAAAATTTTTATTTTAAAAAGTTTCTTTTATGTTAAATCATTTTTAATCTTCTTAAAAAAAAAAAAATTCGTAATTCTATTTTTTAAAACTCACTATTGAAAATACTTTGGACGGTAAAGTTGATGTTGTTGTTGTTGTTGCCGTTGTATCTGTTGTATCACTACTTTCACTATTATTGCTAGCGCGTAATCCATTGAATAATATCCCTAGTGGCACGTGACGAATAGCTAAACAGAAATAAATCAAGAAAATTATGACACTGAAGTTAGCATACGTCTAAAAATTTTTGATTTTTTTTATTAATTAAATTACAGCTAAAAAAATATTTATAAAAAATTGCACTTATAGTTTTTCAAGTTTTTTACATGTGACAATTTTTTTTTTTTTAATTTTTTAATTGAAATTTTTTCAACAAAAAATTTCTAAAAATTTTTAAATGTCGGTAAACTTTATTTTCATAGAAAATTTTTATATTTCAAAAATGAATATTTAAATTAATAAAAAAAAAGAAATACCTATTGGCCAATTGTCAATAGAACTTCTAAGATTTCCTTTGGCAGCTCTATGAGCTATTCCGGTTGTCCAAATACTAGCATCGCTGCTTCCTGTACTGCTATCACTTCCAGTGCTGACTTGACGCCAGCGTCTCTCTATATTTGAGAATAATTTAAATTTGTGTTAAGATTTGCATTAATTTATTTTATATTTGAGCGTTTAATATTTAATATTTATAATACAGAATATTAAAAAAAAAAAAGTGAATTTGATCTAAGTAAAATTTACTTAAGCCAAAAAAATTTCTTAGTTTGAGAATTTTTCTATTTAAATGAAAATGAAGCTCTTCAAAATTTTTTTCTTGAAACTTACTGTCAGTTACAATGGTACCAAAGTGTCCTGAAGTAATACAGGATCTTTTGAGCACTGGACTACTGCCGTCTGGTATTTCAACGCTGTGTGTCCGCGTTATCAGTATTATTGGGCTTCTTTTTGACGATTCTATCGTATCGCGTAATAATGAAGATTCACGTATTGTACTAGTTGAATCGTGATATCCCATTCCCATTAGACTCGCTGTGCTTGCACTTGTTCGCACTACTCTGTTACTTTCACCTTTAAATAATAAAAAAAAAAAAAAAAAAAAAAAAAAAAAAAATCAAAAAAGTTTTTTGAAATAATTTGGTGTAAAAGTTAATAATAGAAATTTATTTATTTAAAAGATATATATTTTTTTTTATTTTAACAAAGACCAATAAAAATATGAAAATTTAGAATTGCAATTTATTTTTCTAAAGTTTATAGAAAAATTAATGTGCATAAAATTTTTAAAATAATCTGCAATTTATTAGTAAAATTTATTTGATTATTTTTTTGTATAAAAAATAATCCAATATATTTTAGCTCGTCATTTATATGCGTAATAAAGATAAAATTTATATTTGTTAACACCTATAATAATTCAATATATTTTCGCTACTCGATTAAAATATCACTTTTATGAGCTTATATATTAAATTTAAATAGTACTTTTTATTGTCCAATTTAATTGCTTTTATACCGCGATAAATTTTGCATTTTATAGATGAGAATTATGAATGATAAAAATATTAAATAATTCGTATAAATTTTGCTAATTAATTAATTAGTGAAAAATAATTTTCAAGACGATTATTGGTTTTTATAAACAGAAAAATTAATGTGTAAAATATTTTTACAATAATCTCTAATTTATTGGTAAAATTTTGTATAAAAAATAATTCAATTTTTTTTAGCGCTACTTGATTAAAATATTACTTTTATAAGCTCATATATTAAATTTAAATAGTATTTTTTATTGTCGAATTTAATTGCTTTTATGCCGCGATAAATTTTGTATTTTTTAAATGAGAATTATGAATGATAAAAATATTGAAAAAAAAAATTAAATCATTTGTATAAATTTTGCTAATGGCTCTTTTAATTAATGAAAAATAATTTTTAAAATTATTGGAAGAAAAAAAATCAATTACTTGATTCGCTTGTTGGTACCCGTAGTGTATTACAAGATGCAGCGGGTTGTAAGCGATTGCAATTAAAAGCTCCAATGTTACCACTCTCGAAACCACCGGCAGCCCTTGAATTTGTCCCTAAATTGAGTAGAGCTTCGCTGAGACGTCGTTGGAGTGGCGGAAACGGAAACAGAGAGACTGGTCCACTTCCCGAAGGGCGACGCGACCCTGCAACGCTTGGGGTTCTCGCTTGAATTTCCTGAAAATTTATTTTTTATAAAAAAAAGTTAAATTATTTTTTTACTGATATAAAATGATAATTTTAAAAATATTTTACCTGCTGCAATTCCGATTTAGTTACTTTTTTTCGCCAATAATTCTGGACAGAACGTCTTATTGTTCGTGACTTGAGGCCGTATAATAAACCGTTAATCGGCGGCGAAGTAGCGAGTAAAAGTGAGGCCAAGGACGCGAATCTTGGGTGCAAGTGAAGACGACTATGACTAGCTGCGGTGCAAGCTTCCCATAGGATGATTCCGCAGTAGGGGAAATAAAGTAGATAGACTGATCCAACTAATTGCATCACCTTTAAGGATATCGATGGATTTTTTTTTATTATTCCTAACGTCGAAACGTCAATCATACTCATCAGCCCGAAATTGGTTTTATTGACTTATCAATTAAATAATTATTTTGGTAATTGGTAATTGGTAATAGAATAAAATAATAAAACCCTCGTCGTGTTTCTTACAGAAAAAAAAAAACTGCTAAAATTATTCCATAAATTCAGAGTAAAAAAAAATATTCAAGCAAAAGAGCAATAATATAAATAATAATAATATTTTTAGAGATAAATAAAATAATAAAGAAAACATATTTTATGAAATAAAAATATTTTATTGAAAAATTAAATTAAATTAAATAATAACAAAAATATAAATTAAAATGGAATGAGCAACTCACTGTTAGTTTTTTTGATTGAAATTTTTATGTTATAGGTCTCAAAAAATTTTGGTCAAAAATTTTTGAATTTTAATTTTGTCTTTTTAAATCACTGAAAAATTTAATCTGTATACTATTAAGAGAATAAGAAAAGTTTTGTGTCCAGGATAGTCATGATAAAAACGGTTTTTTTTTTTCAGTGAAATTTAGTGTCATTGCCAAGGTCTTGACTTAAATTTGTGCCTTTTCAAGGTTTCATTTCAATCTCACCGATAATCAATTTTTATGATAAGTATGTAGGCTGCATTCAAAAATGCTCTAATATCTCAAGATACATAATTAAGAAATGACATTGTATCTTGTGAACTATTGACATTTTTGAAGATATAAGCTCATCCCGATATTATACCCACCGAGACCTTCCATTTAAGTACCCACATCAATTTTCAATGTATTTATATATTTTATATATATATGTATATATGAAAAATATATAAAAAATGCATGTGGCTACTCAAATGAAAGCTCTTGATGAGTGTAACATCGGGATGAGCTTATATCTTTAAACACGTCAATAGTTAAGAAAGCACAGTGCAATTTAACATAACTAAGAAATGACCTTGTATCTTGAGAACTATTGACATTTTTAAAGATATAAGCTCACCCCGGCATTACACTCATCGAGACCTTTCATTTGAGTACCCACATCAATTTTTCATATATTTTCATATATTCATATATATTATATATGAAAAATATATCAATAATGCATGTGGGTACTCAAATAAAAGCTCTTGATAAGTGTAACATCGGGATGAGCTTATATTTTTAAAAACGTCAATAGTTAAGAAAGTACAGTGCAATTTAACATAATTAAGAAATTACCTTGTATCTTGAGAACTATTGACATTTTTAAAGATATAAGCTCACCCCGACATTGTACTCATCAAGATCTTTCATTTGAGTACCCACATCAATTTTTTATATATTTATTATATATATTACATATATGTATATATGAAAAATATATCAAAATGCATGTGGGTACTCAAATGAAAGCTCTTGATGAAACATCGGGATGAGTTTATATCTTTAAAAACATCAATATTTAAGAAAGTACAGTGCAATTTAACAAAAGTCATTATTTAATAAAGCGAAATTTTAATTTTTTATAGTTAACAAGTCACGACAGTCACAATTAAAAATTTTTTTAAAAAGTGAGTTACTCTTAAAAAAAACCTTAAATAGCAGAATAAAATATATATATATTATTATTATAAATTACTAACAGTACTAGCAGCACTGTGAAATCTCGGAGGTCCTCCAGCAGAAGGTGAAGTAACTGTCGGTATGAAGAACGGATTTCTTTGGTGCGTAATAGTAACTTGAGCGCTCAATGTAACTTCATAAATAGCGCTGGCAATTCGGTGACGATGATACCGTGCAATTCCTAGGACTCGAATATTGCAAGCTGTAATAAGTATCGCCGGTAACATTAAACCCACAAACAGATAAACACTTGTATAAATAACACCAGCAATAGTCCATGTCTCATTACTGAACGCTGGAATACAGCATCCGAAATCTTGACTATATTTATACGGTGCAATTAAACCCGAAAATGGAGGGAGAGACAGAATGAATGCACCAATCCATGCTCCTACTAATCCTAGGATTACTCGCCGTGGGGAAACTACTGCCGAGTAGTGAAGGGGTGCTGCTATGGCGTAGTACCTAGATCAAAGTTTAGTAGATGATTATAATCGTGTATTATATCGAAAGCGTAATCTCCGTTAATTATAAAATTTTTATTTTAAAAATAATTTTTACCTATCACAATTGAGCCCTGTGACGGTCCACAAAGCTACTGGGTGAAGTAAAGTGAGCAGAAAACCATGAACTGCACACCAAGAACCAGAATTCGTCCAAGGACCGGTTGTAAATACGAGCAATACAAAACAAAGTGCAAACTCAACTGCTCCAAGGTGAATTAACAGAAGAGTATTTGAAGTTTGTTGCTGCGTCTATTTTATTTATAAATAAATTTATTATTAATTTATTTATTTATTTATTTATTAATTTATAAGACTTACCTGCTTGCCGAGGCCGATTACTACTAACAGGACATAAGCGTTAAGAAGGAGACCAAGAGTGGAAACAAGGACAATAGGAATTCCAAAGGCCCAAGGGCCCATTCCTCTACTTCCTCCAGCACGATGATGCGATTTAACGCAATCTTTCGTACATTTTATGTATAAAATTATCCTGGAACAAATTAATAGTGTTTTATTAATTCTTAACAATCTTTTTCAACAGGTTATGGGTTATGAAAGTAGTGCGAGACACAATCGGGTCTCTAGATTGAAGCATAAATATTGAACTTGTAATTAGAAATTTAAATTGTAAAAATAATAAACTTATTCCGGATGATTTATTAAATATTGTTGTGGTAGGAGATGAAAATTCTGACTGATTTTCTGTGAGAAAAAAGCAAAAGATGAAAAATTTTTTAAAAACAATACTGTTACATTTTTTTCAATTTTTGAATAATGTTCTACTGGTACTAAAAATTCTCGCTTCAGTGATTATTTTAATTTTTTTTTTTTACAAAAACTTTATATTAAAATTCTTCACTAGAAATTTAAACTACGCGCATTCTAATTCTAAACAAATAAGGAATCAGGGTCCATTTTTTCGATTGGTATTGAGAGCTTCAATACGAAACTAAAGGAATAATAGATTAGATTAGATTATTTATTTATTTATGCCAAAGCCTGCTAGCCAAATGGCAAGTAAAAATAACAAAAATACAATTAATTACAAATTTAAAATATTAATAACAATAATTTACAAGGCAAGTAAAAATAAGAAATACAATTTATTACAAATTTAAAAATATTAATAATAATAATAATAATAATTTACAGATATTATAAGTACTCTGATTTCGATTTTATAAAATAATTATGATTTCGATTTCTCTAACAATTTTATAAACATTTATGAACTCTCTTTATACATCAAGGTTAAAGAAATAGTCAAAAATTTTATTCTTGCAAACCTCAAGACTGGACGCATTTACAATATCAGACCTATATATAATAGAATAGGTTTTAAAACTCTCGATAAATTTTTTTCTAATGATCATTATATACCAATGGAATTGTTTTTGCATCCCTTACAAGGTTTTGAGGTCAAACATTTGATTAGTTTATTATTTTTTTAGAAATTTAAAATTTTCAAATTTACATTCTCGCGTTTATGTATGCCAGGATGTATTATTAGGCTTTGAATTTCTCGATAAATTTTTTTCTAATGATTATTATATACCAATCGAATTGTTTTTGCATCCCCTACAAGGTTTTTAGGTCATACAGTTGATTAATTTATTATTTTTTTAGAAATTTAGAATTTTCATTGTTACATGCCCGGGTGTCAAGTTTAAGTTAGAGTAAGTTAGATTAGGCTTCAAAACTTTCGATAAATTTTTTTCTAATCATTATTATATACCAATTTAATTTTTTTTGCATTTCCTACAAGGTTTTCAGGTCAAATAAGATGATTAGTTTATAATTCTTTTAGAAAATTATAATAAAAAATTAAAGAAAGAATTTTTTTTTAAATAAATTTTTTTTAAGATGTGAATTTTTTATACACAGTAAAAAATTTTTCGTCAAAAAATTTTGTGTTAAAAATTTTAGTGTTAAATATTTAACACTTTTATATGTTGCGTCAAAAAATTTTGTGTTAAAAATTTTAGTGTTAAATATTTAACACTTTTATATGTAAATTTAACATTTATTGTGTTAAATTGACACAAAAAAATGTTAAATATTTAACATAAAAATTTTTAACACAAAATTTTTTGACGCATTAACGCAAAATTTTTTACTGTATAATTAATAAATAAATTCACAATTATAAAATTTAAAATTCCAATAAAATACGTGATATGTGATTGTTAGATAAAAAATCTAATCATGATAATTTTTTGACTTTAACTATAGTATAAATTTATGAAAAACAACTAAAGACTTAGAGTAAGTAAAGTATTTAGTTAGTGTCCAATTTGGGAGATTTACCCGACCTAATATCCCTGATCGTACAGTTTCTCAATATAATTCCAGCCTCAGTTCTACACTAATGGTTTTCACGAGTGTATAAAAGCCAGTCGTGTAATATAATAGTACATAAATTTAATCGTAAAATCAATGAAAGCCAAAACCAATTTCAATAAATAACAGACTGTCGAGAGATCGGATTAAGAGGATCAGAAGAGACAATCAGAATGATAACTAAAAATTAAAAATGTCAATTATGCTTTTTAAACAGCTCTAATATATGGGTTTACTCAGTATTCATATCATATATCATATATCAACCGATGAACAGCCAAACAATTTTTTTTAACTCCACCGGTATTGATGTCGGCGGAGCTTGCTTGCATTTACAAGTAAAAGTATATTATTTTCAAGTAATTGCGTTACACCATCGCTAGTTCCATTATCGACTATTAATAGACTTGTCAATGCACGTATATGCATGGATATATGTATTAGAGTCTCTTCGCGTTCAATTCGCGCACGCGCTTATTAGAATTAATAATGAGACACTCGATAGATATGTTCTGGTTTGCGAAAGCATATTCTATCAATTTTCGCTAACTGCCTTAATGAATCAAACTATCCTGAAAATATATTTTCCACGGTAAATAGTAAATATCTAATAAAACCTATGGATCATAGGAACTTATTGACATTCTATATTTAATTATTTACAATTTACAGCGAAACAATGACCGTTTATTGTAAATTTAAAGCTACCGTATGCGTATCACGCACTACAAAAATAAATTCACATTTAGAGGACGTGAATTGACTTCCTAATTCCTGATTCTCTATTTGCTTTTTTAAACGTTATTAATTCCAATAGACTTTCAATAGAAATTTTCTTTAATTAGAATCTGCTGGACATTCGTCTATAAATCTAGGATTTAAAATAAACGGATTAAATAAACAGGAGGTGATAATTGAAATGTACGCTGGAATAAAAATACCCGTAAAAATACAAACCGATAGATTTTTTAATTATTTACTCGGAATTGAAGTGAATCACTATCAGGTTGATGTGATAAAAAAATGCTTTGTTTATTTAATTGTAATTTTTTTTTTTAATTTATTTATTGAGCTTTTTTTGAATCAAATCCATACAGAAATTTTCTATCAAATAAAATCAGTTCATTTCTCTCATCCGCTTTGGTTGAAATCTTATTCGTTCAATTACACCCCAATGAATTTAAGCTCAAATATATCTGTAATTTCCAATTGGATAAAGAATTATTTAAGTGGAAAAAATTTAGCTGAAAAATTCTATTGGACAGTTACTTTGATGTTAAATCAATTTTTTTTTGTACGATTAATTAGATTTAATTAATTTTTTTTTGATATTGCACGCCTCAAAGAAGATTCGCCTTTTTATGAAATTAAAAATAGAGAATTCAATTATCTATATTATTAAGATCTCTCTATATTATTAAATGTCTCTAGATACATAATTAAGAAAAGGCCTTTTGTCTTGTGAAATATTGACATTTTTAAAGATATAAGCTCATTCCGATGTTACACTCGTCGAGACCTTTAATTTGAGTACCCACATCAATTTTTCATATATTCATATATTATATATATATGAAAAATATATCAAAAATGCATGTAGGTACTCGAATGAAAGCTTTTGATGAGTGTAACCTCGGGATGAGCTTATATCTTAAAAAACGTTAATAGTTAAGAAAGTACAGTGCAATTTAACATGATTAAGAAATTACCTTTTATCTTGTGAAATATTGACATTTTTAAAAATATAAGCTCATTCCGATGTGACACTCAACGAAACCTTTGATTTGAGTACCCACATCAATTTTTCATATATTTTATATATTTATATATATGTATATATGAAAAATATATAAAAATGCATGTGGGTACTCAAATGAAAGCTTTTGATGAGTGTAACCTCGGGATGAGCTTTTATCTTAAAAAACGTCAATAATTAAGAAAGTACAGTGCAATTTAACATGGTTAAGAATGACCTGTTATCTTGTGAAATATTTACATTTTTAAAAATATAAGCTCATTCCGATGTTACACTCATTGAAACTTTTCATTTGAGTACCCATATCAATTTTTCATATGAAAGCTTTTGATGAGTGTAACCTCGGGATGAGCTTTTATCTTAAAAAACGTCAATAATTAAGAAAGTACAGTGCAATTTAACATGGTTAAGAATGACCTGTTATCTTGTGAAATATTTACATTTTTAAAAATATAAGCTCATTCCGATGTTACACTCATTGAAACTTTTCATTTGAGTACCCATATCAATTTTTCATATATTTATATATATTATATATATGTATATATGAAAAATATATCAAAAATGCATGTGGGTACTCAAATGAAAGCTCTTGATGAGTGTAACATCGGAATGAGCTTATACCTTTAAAAATGTCAATATTTAAAAAAGTACAATTGTTTTTATTGTTAGAGTATAAAAAAGAAACAATAAAAAAAATAATATTCAATTTTAAATAAATTTTATTAATTTAAAGTAATTTTTAAATTTTAATTTAAACTAAAAGCTTAAAAAAAATTCTTATTGAAATATTTTAGTTCTACTAACAGAGTAATTTAAAATTTTTTAAAGTAAAGGTTAAGCGAAGAGATTTTCTGGGATGATAGAATAAAAATATGTCGCGTAAAAAATGAAATTTATGACGAGAAATTTTGTACAACCCCGAAGCCTAAATTACAAAATATAATAAAATATTTAGAGTGACGAAGGCTTTTGGGTTGATAAAATTTAGCTTTTTCTAAGCCCGACCGTCGATGTATTATTAAAATAAAGCGTCATGTGTTCTGTAGCGACTAAACAAGGGTTTGAGTTGAGCTTTCTCCCTATGTAAGTTCCAGTGAACTTTACCTTTTTCCATTTGCTGTTACTAAACGTCCGAAGAACGCAGTCGTGAGAAATAGAATCAGAATGTGTATGATCTAATGCTTGAATTATTCTTCTATTGAAACACGACTGGGGTTGTAGGAAAATCGATTGTCCCGAATCACTTGAAAGCTTGTTCCAAGCCGTTAATAGTTTCGATTTACTACATCAAATTTTATCAGCATCTTATTACAATTCTTCTTTCCGTTTTCTTCATTGAAACAATTTTTTTTTTATTACCAATTATGCATTATTGAATATTAATTATTGT